TCTTTTTCTTTAGGCACTTTGTGGCTACTCTGATTCTGCTTGTAAACAGCAATGCAATAGCAGGCAGATTCCAGCAGGGATAATTGACTCCTGTGTGACGTTTCTTAATAGAACACTTGGAAATAGTTAAAATTTGTTTTCTGTATTTAGAAAAGCTAAAGGACAGAGCCACAGCAGGTATAAATTGGCATATCTTATTTCAAGTCACTGGAATTATAGAGATTTTGACCGGCTAAATATATGACCTCACGTCTGAATGTTGAAAGACTGAGCAGTCATGGTAGTTTTTTGCGTCAGAGAAGAGTATCCTTTCCTATCTACTAGTAACAAGTCGTGAAAATCATGTTCCTGTGGATTAGGAAATATTTACCTTATTTCAAAGGGATATCCTTTGTGAGTTATTGCTCACTAATGAAATAAGATGTGCCCAATCTGTCCCTCAGTTTAGACTGAAAAATTATTGCTGCTGTCTGTGATTTTAAATAATGTATAGTGTATCTTTACCAACATATGGTAGTGTCTTTCCAAGAAATGCTACATATGATTCTTCTGAAAGTTACATTAGAGTGTCTGATACAAAGGTGTCATGGAACAGCAGAGATCATCAAAAGTTATAATGCTGACTTTATGTTAACAATTAACTAAAGCACAGTAATTTTGAAATAGATAATCCACTCTTTATTTTGAATTTTCAACTAAAGAATTTAAGCCAAAAGGCTTGAAAGGATAATAATGTAAGACAGCTAAATACCATTAAAATAATTATTTGTTAAATTTTACTAAAGTGATGATTATTTTTGCATAGGTATCAATCTTACTTACATGGAAATTAAAACAAAAAAGAAAATCAATCATACTGAATCTATTAAAAAGAGGAATGGATTCCCAAACTGTAATGTGGACTTCCATGGGTTTGGACTGCTAAGAGAATAGTGTATCAGGACATTAATGAAATGCTTGACTAATGGGCTTTGCTGTGTCTGCTGGACAACGTTCAAAAAAGAAGATGGAAAAAAATTATTTTCCTAATGCATCAGTGATTTCTCAGCAGAAATAGCCCCTGGGACTGACTGAACTAATCTTCTACTATTTCAACATATTTCCAGTATAGAAATAATACCTTTAGCACTAAGGGGCGTGCAAAAGAGGCTATGCCAATGAAATAGAGCATCTTTTCATTAGTTCTTTATGCCTTGGTTGGTGAACCCAGTTCTACCTGCAGTAGGTACCTCTGCCCACAGAGGTTACGCTTGCTCCATGAATGACTAAATGTTGCCCAGGGGATATTGCAAAAAACTTGTGAGTGATGTGCACTATCAAAGATCTGGAGAATCCAGTCCTGAACACTTAGTTTGTGTAATCACAGTTTGTGCTAAAGTTACACCTCACCAATGAGCACCTGAAAGAGCTACATAAATGTTAGAAAATCAAGTAACAACTCCTTTAATGCAGAATTAGGATTAGTACATGTATTTTATAATAAGGAAGATAAGAAACATGAGTTAAAATTATTTTTAGCCCCTGCCGTGGTAAAAACCTCATTGGCAGAATGAGGTTTGTATGTAATTGTACAGTGAGGCACTAGTTCATAGATATTTGCACATTTTATAAAAAAAAATTTAAAAATATGACTCAATCTTGTGCTGTCATCCCCCCACAAATATTCCTGTAGTCCAAATTAATGCACTTTCTGATCTAAATTAATAAATGTTTATTAGCATGCAGTGATTTCTGCCCTCTATCTACTTTGTGAAGATGTATTTCAAGTAATTTGACACATACAATGAATGTTAGGCACACTCATGGTTTATTTTTATATATCTATCTATATATATAAAAAAAGTAATTACAATCATAGCTACCTCACGCATGCTTAGCTGGCGAACTGAGCATGGATTGGACCAGATGTCCTCCAAAAGCGCCCTCTAACTTTAATGACTCTATGACTTGAAATTTCAAGTTTGGGCTCTGACCCTCTTAAACCATCTCTTTTCCAATTAGGGAAACTGGATTTATGTAGAGCAGTCTTGCACACACCTTGCAATGGCATTCATGTCAGAAGTGTGTATCTCAACCAGAGAGATTTTGTATTAGTGTCTGAAACATTAACTTTCAAAAAATTATACTGTAATCTGCAAATAGGTAAATATGTGTTTCTTTGCACACCTATATTACTAGATTTGGAAACTTACAGCAGTCAGAAAAATAAAAACAGCTTTCAATATGCATTTGGCTATAATCTGGGCTTTATCGAATTTGTTCGGGACATTTAAAGCCCTTGCAAAATTTAGGCCATATAATCAGAAGAACTGATCTGAAAGTCTTAAGGAGATGAAAAAGGCTTTGTCATTAGAACTTTCATTAGTATTAATGGCATTGCACAACTAAAGCCTGGCTCATCCGGATGGAGATGCACCTCTGATTCTTCTGGCTGGTGTACAGTTTTACACAGACAGACGTTTAGACAATTGGATACCCATGCTAACTTAGGATCCACTTGGAATTCAGATAAAAGCTGGAATTCAGTGGCCTTTTTCCCTAGTTACATTGGCTGTGTTCCCTCTCCTCTCTCTCACACTAATCTCATAAAGCATTTGCTGTTTTTTGAGATTTGGAGTGACAAAATGGCTTGAAATGGCAGATGAGCAAAAAAATAGCTATTTCTTTTCTACAAATAATTACCAAGAGGAAATGGAAATTTTAGTGACTGTGGGCTGCTGTTCAATAAGGTTGTTCTAGATTTGAGACAAGTCCTAGACAAACATACTTTTTCATCTTCTAATCTTGCACTGTCAAGTACACCACTCTCTACTAACTAGGTGTTTGACTTTCGAAGCTTTTTCATCACATTAATATTCAGGAACACATTGCCATTGTGAAAGAATGCATTTAATTTTCTTTTTCTTTTCCATTCAGAAAAACTATTCTTTTTGGAAAATGGATGTTTAATTGGTTATAAAATAAGACTATGTCTTTTTATACATGAAGTTAGTTTTTTTCGTTCACTTTGCACAGACTGAAAACATATAATCTAGTGTCCTCTGTTTGCAAAGACTTTATTTAGCAGGATTTCCTTTCCTCCAGGAGGGAGAACCTTGCTTCAGTTATGTTCCTTTGAATTACAATTAGATATTTGAACGCCAGACAGCTGAATAAACAAATTTCCCCCACCAATTTAATTATCCTGGCCTGTTTGTCAGTGCCAGCAGAATACTATGTAGCACATTGCCAATTAAAACTCCGCTTTTGATTGCCAGTAAAACACTACAGGTTCAGGCCTGTGTAGCCAGAGGGAGGTGTTTTGGTTGCCTATTCTTGATCTGGGAAGCTGAAGCTCCCAGATGCATATTGCTGGCACAGGGTGGGTTAGGTGGTCCCTGGAGGCTGCAGTCAGTGGTACCCAGTGCATGTAATGAAGGCATAGATCAACCTAGCTTCACTAGCAGCTTCCAAGCTCAATTCAGTGCAATGCAAAACTGGCTCTCTCATGCATGCTACACATTCCTCGTTGCTACAGCCCTATGCGCAGTCTCAGGCTACTTCAAATATCACTGTACCTTCAGCACCTCCTGGGAGGCAGAGTCTTATACAGAGACGCATACAGGTGCTGTGGCTCTTTGCTCTTAGGCTGTGCCCATGGGGAAGAAAGAAGCAAAAGACTCTTTTGTAGTTAAGTTGTATTTGTGTAGTTAGCTTACAGCTCCCAAAATGCCCAACGCGGGAAAACCTTCAGGCCATCTGCTCTGGGTAGGTATAAGCAGGATGCAGCAGGATAGTGCTGTGGGGAGGAGTGGGCAAGACCTCAGCTCAGTGAAGACCTGTATTAATAGAATGGCTCTCCGAGACTCTGGGACTAGTCAACCCTTCACTATTGTACCCATGACCGTGGTCAGCTGTGTCTGGTTTCAATCTTGTGTGCCAAGCACGAGTTCCAGCCCCCATGACAATCTACTTTTCTGTGCTCTTTTCCATTTCTGTACAGATTCTGGATGAAATAGGAAAATAATTATTTTCTGCTCTTGGCCCATTCGTATCCAAACTCCACCCACTGGCTTAAGACATTTGTAGTATCATTAAGATTTTTCATATCCAGCAGTGTTCAAACTTTGTCACAGAAGCAGGTCAGGAAAGAAGGGCACTGGCATATTATGCAAAAAACTTCAGTTGCCTAGCACCATTCAGCTCATTACCACTGACATTCTGAAATGAAAATATCTGATGATGTCATATTCTAAAGTAGTTTCTATGTTCTCCTCTAGAACTGGAGGCACAGATTTGAAGAAAACAAAACATCCATTAAGGCTAGTCTACACATTTCTGATTCCTAACTTGCCCTTTTTACTGTGCTAAGCAGGTTGAATTATATTAGAGCTGCTGTCATACTGCTCAGTAGCAGAAAAAAATGGTAAACAGACGTTTTATCCTCTCCGGGTTCTGGTTACCAAAAGTGAAAATGAAAACCATTGGCAAAAATTTGTGCTGAACTTTCTAAATGCACAATAAGCTCAAGTTCATCAGAGTGGAGAAAAGCTGTGTGACAGTTTGTTTGAATTAATCTAATTATTGGTCTTGTCAGTAATGTGTTGCATCAAATCGTTCTCTCAAAGAGAAGTAATGCAACAACACTGTGTACATACTAAGTGATATTTTGGTGGAGCGTTGCATAAGCAAAGTGACAATTAGATTTGTTTCGTAACAGGTCCCAACTGAGTCAGTGAGAGAGAAAATAGGCATGCCAAAGGTGATAAGCACTGATGTTCCTTTGAATAGACAGAATATGATCTCAACTGTACTAAAAGGAAATGTTGCTAAAGTGAACTGTAGCCTCAACTGTTATGTGACATCTTTACTGTGAGTCTCCTGTTATAAAGCAGACAATTTTTCAATGTTTTGTACAGTACTATTAACCCTGAATTATGTATGCATTGTCTCTGAAGATGTTGCCTATAAATTCATATTTTTCAAGGCTTTCCATTTCTTAATTTTTATTTCTTTAACAGTTCCACCCAAAAGGGAGATGATGATTATGAAGATTACACTTCAAATAAGACTTGGGTTTTGACTCCCAAAGTCCATGAGAGTGATGTCACTCTTATTTTAAATGGCTTGCTGGAAGGATATGACAACAAGCTGAGACCTGACATAGGAGGTATGTTGGTTTTCTTTTTAGACCACTTTTGATTAAGCAGTGAAGAGAAAGACTTTTCATACCATATTATGCTACACAGGAAGCAGAATCCATTAAAAGTATTTATGAAAACAAAACACAATATAGTAAAACATCAGTGGCACAAAAAGGCATGATTTTGGAAGCTGACATAAATTAAGATTGTTAAATCTATCCTGAGACATCTAATAAGACTGTTGTGATTTGCTGAATCAGGCTGCTTGTAATCATGCACCTGCATAGGGATTTTGGAATTTAACTTTTGGCGAATGAAAAAACAAGTATTTATCTTCTTTGTATATCTAAGTGAGGGTGTTAGAGAACCACAAATGATGTATTGGAAAGGAAGGCCAAAACGAGGATAACACAGCCTGATCCTTGCGTGAGGTGATGGACACAGACAGAGCCTCTAACAGCAGCAGGTCTGCATGCGGCATGGTCCCTCACTTGCACAGCAGGGCAAGAAGTGACTGGGGAATGGAGCACAAGGAAGAAGTTCACAAAAGATAACTGCAGTCAAGTAAGGCCAACCTGCCTAGATTTTCCCCACAGCCAATATAAGTATATAGACTCAAGCTTGGACCATAATGGAGGTCTTATTTGACTGAATCACCTTTTGCAGGAATCTTGCTCTCCACTAATTACTGAGGGAGCTCGAAGAGATAAATCTCCCTGAGTTGCTGCAAGTCAGTTTGAGAAGGCCCCATGTGTGCACAGAACAGTCAGACAATACCTCTGTGGAAGAGGATACAGCAGTAATATGATTACAGAAAAACGCAAAGAGAATTCATGGATGAGGCAGGCAGAGGAAAACAGAGAGCAGCAAGGTTAATGAAGGAAGCTGTTTCTAACAAGTTTATAGAGGCTTATAAACTAAGGAATTTTTCACAGTGAGGGATAACATGAGTATTTAATCTTCAATGTAGGTATATAGTGCAAACTAGCAGAGGAATTTGTCTTATTCTCCCAATCCAAGACTTTAGAGAACAGAAAGGAATTAAACATTCGTAAAAGCATCTGGGAAAAAACAATCATGTTTTAGTCAAAATGTATAATAAAGCTACAATAGAGTAATTTCAGAATAAATTGATCTAACAACTGTTTTTCATTCCTGTTTTAGAGCCTCAAGTATTATTTTTGCTTTGGGTTCATGAAATTGTTACTTACCTACAGCCATCTCTGCAGGCAACAGCAGTCATGTTGCATTTGGCATTATAATGTAAAATGAGTGATGTAAGACATCTCAAAAAGAATAAGTTTGCTTTCATTGATAGTGTTTTGTCAAATGTGTTGCTGTGATCTGACACAAAATATACATACTTTCAGTCAGATATGACTCACTCTAAGTTAACAACACTGGTTTCAGTATTTGTTCTCATAGCATAAGTGAATTTTTTCTGATAGAATAAACAATATAAGAATATGTCTCAAAGTGTCTCCAACTACTTTCAAACTGGAGACATTGCTGCAAATTTATATTTATTGTACATGCACATTTAAATGTGAGGCAACCATAGTCATACAAGAGAGGTACTATAATAATCTTTTACTTGTGTTTGACTTTCACGTAGTTGATTTTGACCTTCACTCCTGTTATTGATTCTTGTTGTTTCTCTTACAGTTAAACCAACAGTAATTCACACTGACATGTATGTAAATAGCATTGGGCCTGTGAATGCTATCAATATGGTAGGTAAATGATTGCCAATTTTCCTACAATGTTCACTCTGTTACAAAGCTTTCATCATTTTTGATGTTACTAAGCTTCCATTAGTTTTAATGTTATGCTATACCTATATTATTTTTAAAATCTCATTATTATTATTATTATTATTATGGATGTGAGGACTTTATGAGCTATGAATCTCTACAGGATGGGGAAACTGAGCTCTATGCTGAAAAAACCGTAATAATAATAGTTTTAACATATCCTCACACTTTCATGTGCTCTACTTTCAAGTGCTTTGTGACAGTTTAAATCCTGTAAAACTGAGCTTCCAAATTGCTACAAAATAAGGAAAGCCACTCACCAGTGATGTTACCACTCTTGCCACCAAGAGATAAAAATAAAAAAGCCTAGATCCTCTCTCCTCTCCTCTTTCCAAAGTTCCTACAGAAAAATTTAATTATATCTTTGTACAGGTGAGGGAAAATGGTCTAGCCTTAGCACAGTGTCTACTTCATTCTTGTAGTTTTCATGTGTAGAAAGAAATCTCACATTGCTCTTTTCCATTCTATAATTCCCTTTGCAGCTTCTGGCTGCCCAGTGGTGCCAGGGAAAGTGGGACTTCACCACCTCTGATATTAACTGGGGGGCATAGGCAATTAAGGCAGCCAAGTCAGCTCAAATTTTTCCTGTCCTAGATCCAAGGGAGTAAGTAATTGTTCTCGGACCTGATCAGGTGTGGGTTGAGGTGTGGAGACACAGAATTAGAAAGGTGCATATACCACTCAATTGCATCTTAGTTTCACCTGCCAGTGGGAAAATAACAGAATAAATTGATTTTAAACAATAATCTTTGGTAAACCATGCCCTCAAAAATTGACAAAAAATTGTTTTTATCAGTTCTAGTATCAAATTTTTTCATATGAAATTAAGGAAAGCATATCAGGAGTTATGTGAAATGCTGAGTGCTATGTTTTCATCAGTATTTCTGGTTAACACAACAGGAATATACAATTGATATATTTTTCGCCCAAACGTGGTATGACAGACGTCTGAAGTTCAATAGCACTATAAAAGTGCTCAGATTAAACAGCAACATGGTTGGGAAGATCTGGATACCAGATACATTTTTCCGAAATTCCAAGAAAGCTGATGCTCATTGGATAACAACTCCTAATAGGATGCTCAGGATCTGGAATGACGGCAGAGTGTTATACACATTGAGGTATTTATATCTGACTTTAATTTCAGTTTCTCTAGGGAAAGCCAAAGAGAAAGGTCCCGTGAATTCAGGTCATTTGACATTGACCTGAAGGAAAAACATATTGTTTTTTCCTATTTACTTATGCATACAACCCTGAAAAAGGGAAATATTTAGAAGATATTACTTGCATGCAATTTATTTTATATTGGCACAGTAAAGAGTTTTATTTCTTCCTAAAGTTTTTACTTTCTTTCTCCATAATAGTCACGTTCCTATACTAAAATAAATATAAGCATTGTTATAACAATTCATTTTAATTTTCAGGTATGTTTTATTGTTTGCCACTGGTTTGGTCCATATTTGCTTTTACCTTTTTATTAGGTTAAAATGATGAATTTGAAATATCCTTGAATTAAGTAGATGGTATGAAAGGAGGTATTATATACATCAAAGGCCTCTTATTCTGAATTGATTACAATTTAACTAGATGAAGTTCCACCCTGCAAAAACATTTCATTCCTCAAATATCTTATGAAAATAAGGATTATCATTTTGGCGTTGGTCATTTAAGGTTTAATCCAAAACCTACAGAGATGCCCTGTTCCACTAAAATTTTCATGAATCTGAACTTGATATGCTCATTTGCAGATTTCTCAGGCACGTGTATAGCTTTTCTTTTGAGACAGATTACCTTTAAAAACTATCTTTTCAATAATTGTTATGTGTATACCTACATTTAAGTGTAACATATGCAATATATAACTCAAGTAGCATATTCCCAATGACCATAAGATACTTCCTAAATGCAAAAATCCTAAGTGCATTTTTTTTCTTTTTCTTACATGTGATATAATATTTGGTTCTATGTAAAACATAGATAAAGACAGCATTTGTTCAAGAAAATTTATAATTTAAAATGAGAGTAGAGAATCAAAGATGTTAGACATAAGACCATCTGAGTTTTAGACTGCATTTTTTTCAAAGGGTTTTTTCCACTTTTGTTTTATTGGGTGCCAAAAATGAAGTTTTGAAGAAAAGTACACTCATTATAATTTTAATTACTAGATCTGAAGCTTTGGTTAAGACAACCTTTTAATGTTGCAACTGTCTGAATTACAAAAAGAAGTATTATTTCATAGTTATTTTATATTCATTACTTATTGCATCTCCAGAAGACATAAGAGAATGATCAGAATTGAAATCCAGTGCAAACCAAAGTCAGTCTGATAAAGAAGGTCCACTTTTGAAATGTTTAATTTGGACTTAGCTATACTACTGTCTCTTTGGATTTCATTACCTTTCTCTTCAAACCCTTCAATTTCTCTCATTAGAAAGAGATATATCTGATAGAACTTAGAAACAGTTATCTGTTAGTAATGTATACTTAGTTGTTCTAGTGAGTCACAGCAAGCACCAGTAAGGATTCAACCTGGATTAATCTAGAAGTGAAATGTGATAGTATCATCACAGATCTGAGATTCCGTCCTGAAGAGAAGAGGGCTCCAGAAGACCCGGCTGATTTTCTCAATCACCTCCCGCTAGGCTCAAGCTCAGCCCATCCTGACCAGCAGGAAATCAATCAAAGTTAGCAGGCAGTCTGCATGGATCAACATAATGCTCCTGACAAAACTCAGATGTGAAAAGAAAATGTATTAGAGGTGGAAGCATGGACAAGTGACCCAGGAGGAATACAGAGATGCTGTCCGAGCACTCAGGGACAGGGTTAGAAAAGCCAAAGTTCATCTGGAGTTGAATCTGACTAGGGACATGAAAGCAAGAAGGGTTTCTACACATACATCCTCGGCAAAAGCAAGACTAGGGAAAATGTGGGCACACTGCTGAATGGGAATGGGGACCTTGTCACAAAGGACACTGAAAGAGCCAAGGTATACAATGCCTTCTTTGCCTCAGTCTTTACTGATAAAACCCTGCCCTCAGCAATCCTAGGTCTCTGAGACTGGTAGGAAAGTGGAGCAAGGAAGACTTACCTTTGGTGGAGGAGGGTCAGCTATGGGCTAAATAAGTGGACGTTGATGTGGATTGAATATGCCTGAACTGCCAGGCTCAAAGGGTTGGGATCAGTGGCATGAAGGCCAACTGGAAAGCAGTCACTAGTGGTGCACTCCCCAGTTTTGTACTAGGCCAATACAGTTTAACATCTTCACATCTTCATTAATGACCTGGACAATGGGACAGAGTGCATCCTTAGCATGTCTGCAGATAATACAAAACTGGGAGGAGTGATTGGTATGTCATAAGGTTGTGCTACCACTCACAGGGACTGCAACATGCTGGAGAAATGGGCCAACGGGAATCTTATAGAGTTCAACAAAGGCAAATGTCATGCTGAACCAGGGGAGGAATAATCCTGTGCAGCAGTACAGGGTGGAGGCCGACCAGCTGAAAAGCACCTTGCAGAAAAAGACCTGGGCATCCTGGTGGACATTCACCATAAGCCAGCAAAGTGCCTTTGAAGCAAAGGCAAACAGCATCCTAGACTGCATTAGGAAGACCGCTGCCAGCAGGTCACTGGAGATGATCCTTCTCCTCTTCCCAGCACTAGTGAGACACATCTGGAGTGCTGGGTCCAGTGCTAGGCTCCCCAGTACAAGAGGGATATGAGCTTAGTCGAACAAGTGCTGTGAAGGCCCATTAAGATGCTGAAGGGCTGGGAGCATCTGATGTGTGGGGAGGGAGCTGGGACTGTTCAGCTTAGAGAAGAGAAGGCTCAGGGGATCTTATCAATATGTGTAATTGGGGGGGGGGGGGGGTAAAGAAAACAGAGACATAATCTTCTCAGTGATATCCAATAATAGGACAGCAGGCAATTGGCACAAACTGAAGTACAGGAAATTCTGTTTAAACATAAGAAGAAACTTTTTTACTATGAGAATGGTCAAACAATGGAACAGGTTGCCTAGAAAACTCCATGCTTGGAGATATTCAAAGCCTGGATTGTGTTTTGTGCTGAGGAATGAAATCTACTCAATTCCACAAAAGAAAACAAATAAAAACCAGCAGTAAATCTGAGCCTATCCTGAATTCAAACAGTGTTAAATATATTCACCAGAGAAAAGGCAATATTGAAGGAAGAACTTAATAATTTTTTGGATCCATATTATGATTATCTTGAAGTTCAACTGAAGATGATGTAAATGAGAAGAGAAAGAAAGGGCAATAATATTAGCACACAGAATCATAGAATCATAGAATCGTTTAGGTTGGAAAAGACCTTTAAGATCACCCAGTCCAACCATCTCTCCTTCTGTGTCACAAACAGAACTTCCCTTAGTTTCAAAGGAAATTAGATTTGTTCCTAAATCCCTAATGCAGAAAAGTTTCCTTTTTACTTCATTAACTTGGTGGCTAGTGGTCACAGCATCTCTCTGCATCCCACAGTATGAGACTCAGGGAGTCATGTGCATGCAGCACCTACCTGCAGGAGCCAGGAGACAAACACAGCTCATCCAGACACCCAGGAATTAGCAAAGACCAGAAACATATGGTTTTCTAAGAGACTCATGGAACAAATAAACATCACTCTGCTATTTTTTTTTTCTCTCCTTTTCCTTTTTCCCTCTCACCTCACCTCCTCCCTCCTTTCCAAAGTCCAAGAATCATGCAGGACATGGCAGGGCTGGGGCTATGTATGGGCCAGCAACAATTAAAGGACTGAATGAAAAATGGTAGAGTTTTAGAGGGCACATCAGGGGATACACCTCATCCAATTTTGGATTTCTAAAAGTACATGTCTCTACCTGATCTATAGCACCTACACCACCTGAGTTATCATGGAGACTCTCCTGATATTCAGTGGAGAGAAACACTTCCCGGTACATTCTTCTTCTGATTTAATTTAAATGTCTTATTTTGGAATGAAATGAAGTATATCCTCAGAGCGCCTTTCCACTAGCTAGGAAGGTAGTCTAGATGGCTCTCTTGGATGCAGATGTCTAAATTTGGAGTCCCATCCATAATTTCTGAAATAGAATTTTTTTCACATAAAATACATTTCCCTAGTGCATTATGGCATGTTGTGACACAGAGATTTGTCACTGTTCATGAGGTGACCTGTATATCTACTTATGGATTTGCCAGTCATGGGTAATGCCACCATTTCGGATGCATAGGAACAGAACTTTAATACCTTATTCTATCACACAGTCCAGAAAGTAGACAATCAGGGTGTATGTAAACAAAAAAGAAACACTGCTTATCAGTAATCGTGATGTCTTCCTCTGCTTGGAACATCCAACTTAATACATACATATCAACAGTTTACTTTTGCTTTACATATATATATATATAAAATACTTGCATATTTCATAGTCAGGTTCCATATTAGTAAGAATCTCATTTTGATTGCCATGATGTAGCTTTCAGGACAAACTTCTCAAGTGCATCTGTATATCCTGATCTCTTTCTCCTCAGGCTGACAATTGATGCTGAGTGTCAGCTACAGTTACACAACTTCCCAATGGATGCCCATTCCTGCCCCCTGGAATTTTCAAGCTGTAAGTAACATGCTTAGAAATATCCCTTTTCTGACCCACACTGAATCAGTTACTATAAATTTATGTTTACATAGTTAGAGTCAGCAAGGGTTATGTTCTTAACTAGACATAGTCTAATGGTTTTCAGTTTTATTTTGATCTTATTTTCAAGTACGTGAATCACACATGTACACAAATATAATTGAGAAATGCTATATTAAAAAAAATGATACAATTTATGGGACCTATGTGATTAATTTATGCTTCTATCTTAGCATAACAGTAGAAATTTTTACTTTCAGCATCAGTCTTATGGCCTGATACTTTCTCTCTGTGCATGAGTGTTTTACTATTGCAATAGTTGGAGTCAAGAGTTTGACATTTTGCAGTCAGGTCAAGGTGTGAATTTCTGGTAAAAGCAGACTTTTTAGCCATAATTGAAGGATGGGCAAAATTGCATCCTATTGGGTCCACAAAAGTGGAAAACTAATTTTTGAAAAATTTATCTCAAGTGTTATTTTAATTTATAATAAATAAAACAAAATGTGACATTAAGGAAAAGGCACTACTAAGTAACTTGAAAAAAAGGTCTATAATTTACTTGCAATATGCTTCTCCAGTTTTTTCCAGAAATAGAAAATAGTATTTTTACTCCCCAAAGTACACTAAAATCCTAGCAATGACTATGAAACAAAGCATTCTGTATTTTCCATTACAATAAGATGGCTACCCAAGAGAAGAGATCATTTACCAATGGAAACGCAGCTCAGTGGAGGTGGGGGACACCAGGTCCTGGAGGCTTTACCAGTTCTCCTTTACAGGATTAAGAAATACAACTGAGGTGGTGAAGACTACTTCAGGTAAGACAACAGATCTGTTTACCTTCAGATTCATTTAGGATTTTATGAACAGAAAGAAAAAAGGAAGGATATCTCTGTTTAGAACTTAGCATTGGCACTTCCCTGAACAATTACAGGCTTTTAAATACCTATGCAGCCATCCAGGCTTTAGTATTTCTGGAGAAAAACACACAGGAAGAAAAATAAGTTGTCGTCTACTGTCCATTGTTGTCCTCCAAGAAATACCTAGAACTGTCAGGAGAAAGCCACTACTACGAGGGGTGGGTGGGCGAGGGAACTTGCTGTCCTCCTTCAGTGTAGAAAACAGCACAGCTGAGCCACTAAATTATAATCTGATACTGATTTGAATGTTTTACAATCCCCTTCCAACTTCCAGAGGCAGAAAGGAAGCCTGCACAGAAATGAAATTCGAAGTCCCAACCTCTTTACTACAGCAGCTCCAAATTTATTTTGTTCTTTAAAATGGGGCACATTCAACTCTCATTAAAGAGAACAGGCTTACAAATCAGAGTCTCAGATGATTTTCCTGCAAATTTCTATCTCCTTGGAAACACAGAATGGAATTTAAAATGATAAATGAGGAAGTACTCAGCGTTTAATAAAAATAGCAATTTTAACCCTACTAACTAAGCAGGAAAATACATTCTTCTAGACATATATATTGTTTTATTTCTCAGTGGAAGAAAATCAGTGAATATGAGAAAGGATGTAAAGATGAATTGCATATTAATATTCTCGTATGTGTATGATTTCCCTTGTCTCTGATTTCTTACTTTCAAAAAGAACAGTGAAATGAAAGCAGTTTTTCTTTTCAAGTTGCTTTTGATTTTTACCTTATTTTATTATTCTGGCAAATATATTGATTTAAATTCAGACATCTGTGCTAATTCTGACTTCAGAAATATCCCCATCCATTTTATTTCTAAAAGGTCAGCATTGCCATTATATTCAAAAGGAGAGTGAGATACGCTAGAGTTGAGAGGAGCCTACTGTGCATTACACTGGAGTGCAAACAAAGATGTTGAGAATTAATTCAAGTTCCAACTCCTGAATCACTGGACATTAAGCACCAATGACATGTTTAGTCTTACGAGCAGGGCAAAAATGGAATGAAACCTCCCAGCTGTAGCTGCATTTGCCTGATGGCATCTTCTGCCATTTTAGCTAAGGAAGATATTTAGTCAGCTATTCAAGAAAGCATTTGACCTTTCTCATTTTCCCAGGAAAATAAAAATAAAGGTGCAAAAGAGGACAAGAGAACAGTGTGTGTGTGAGCCATAGCTGCTAATAACCACCATTACACATGACATAGTGGAATTGCTCTCAAAGCAAAAATATAAACAGCAATACATCTCACCTCAGACTGCCCTTGCGACAGGCAAAGCACAAAAGGCAGCAGCATACCCAAGTGTGGTCTAAGGTCTCATCCTGCCCAGGTTGAAAACTAACTTTATTTCAGCCTTAATTCAAGTTTCTTTTATTTGCTCCTTTTCTTTCCTTTTTTGCTTGAGCCATTCTCTAATAAACTTTTTTTTTTTAGCCAGAGATAGAATGTAGTAAAATCTTAACATGCTACAAGCTTTAGATCCACCGATTCAGCGCTTCTTGTGCTGATGAATCAAAAACACTCTCTAATGTTCTGCTAATGTGAAGAAAGTGCATACTGGGAAACAAACAGTAAAACACAGAAAGCAAAAATATACTTTCCCATGCAAAGAAAACTTTTTTCAGGGGATAACCATTCAAGCTTGTAGTACTCACCTGGAGTACTACCATAATGTTGCATCAGTAGTTTTGAATATGACAAAACACACTAGCTCTTTTAATTTGCTTTAAAAAAAAGTAAGTAGCAGCTAGCATACACTTTAAAGCAGCAAAGAGTCACTCTAGAAATCACTCGATTCCTAAGAAGAAATGCTCATGAAAGCTACTCAGCCTGCTGAGCTGCTTTCAAAGACCTGCTGAGTATAAAAACTTGGAAAAATGTCCTGTGTATATATTTCTTCTGCTGCAGTTTTCTTATGTTTGATTTTCCTTGCTCCTTTTGTTTTTATGACCGCAGAGATGCAAGAAAATTAGATTTGATTTTGATCTAAGTGCAGTATCTAAATAATTAGAAGGTGGAAAAAAAAAAACCAACAAAAAATAGGGATTGTAATGAATCTGGTTTATTGCCTACAAATATTTTGCTGAAGGTGGCAGAGCCTAAAAGGTATTCATTACTTACCTAAGTGCCTTATTAGCATGCTGGGAACTACATTAAGTCCAACATTCCTTAGCCAGACCTGCAGTCTACCTATAATTACTCTCTTACCTGCACGCATTTTCAATAGAGTTTACCCAAAAGAAAAGAAAAATATTCCAAGCTTATAGATTTATCAGCAACCTACGTGCAGCTTGAGCACACAAGTTAAATGTTTGAATACCCATATAGCCAAAATAAGTCTTGAGACTTTATGCAACTGATTGCAGTGCTGCGTATAATAGAATTTAGGTACAAACTAGTGACAATACCACTGCCAATGCTTCGGTGGGGATATGAGCTGAGGTACAGTGGAGGAGGCAATGGAAAGATTAGTAAGATGTTGGAAAGAGGACTATACTATACTTTCAAGAAGTCTTCCTCAAAACTACATTTAGATGACAATAGAAACCAGAGAAACCTGAACACAAGAAGGGAGAATGAAAGAATATGAGATTGAACAATTACAGAACAAAAGGAGGCTGGGAGTAGCGTAAGGCATTTGGAACTGGAGTAAATTTTCCATATCTGCATTTACTCCATTTCAAAACAAATTCTTGTTTCCACCTTCATGTCTCCCAGTGACTAACACATTCTAGTCCTTGAGGGCTATGCTTGCTTGGTGACTGGAGCAGAGAAGAAAATCAGAAAGGGTGGCTGAGACTTGGTCATTACAAACTCTGTTACCTCCCTTTCTGTCATGCCATAGCTGAACATTTGAGATCTGGGTTGAGTTATGGGCAGAGAAGGACAAGAATTGTTTGAGTGCAAGCTTCATAAGATCTGATGGACTTGCTGAAGTGACTACATTTATCTGCTGCTCTTCCTTTGCATGTGCTGCAGAAATACAAGATTAACTGAAAGGGCCAGATGTCAGAATTCTGTCCCTGATCAGTTAGCAAATCCCAATAACAGCAGAAAAAAGCAACTGGAATATTATAAACCATCCTGTCTGTATCTCTTATCTGAAGTGAGTCATCCTGAATTGTCAGCTTGTTTCTCTCCAAACTGAACATTCATATATGACTCTAATTTTCTTCAAAAGTCTCCGACCAAGCAATAAGAAATGACTTAGCTCATGGAAACCACTGTCCATTAATAGCCAGGAGCGTTAAGAAAAGTTAAATCTCAACCTTCTGCCCTACAAACTTTTTATTAAAATGACTGAATAGTTTGTACATTTAATAATATTACCTGTATATATATGTTTTGCTTTTTCACTACAACCTATGGTGTGTAAACAGAAGTGGTTTAGTTCACATTATTAGCAATAAAGTGCATGTTTAAGACATAATATTATCTGAGCTATATGAACTACTACAGTTGACCTCACACACTTATAAACTGAGATAGGTTTAAGATTTATTGTATTACTGAAGTATGTCCATAACCACTGCTCAAACAGTGCATATCTCAGTCATTTATTAAGAAACTACAGTTTCTCTTGTGTGACCTTTTTGCTCGTAGTGTAAGGCCCCATCCACTGAATGGTAGTGAGATTCCCTAATAAAAAAGGGATGAACTAATGGAAAGGTCTAGAGAATAAAAATTCACCAACTTCTGAAATTTGGATGGAAGCTGCCATGAGTAGTCCTTACAAAGAAAGCATCAGATTTACAAAACCCTACTTCAAACCTAATGCTGAGGTTGTATAGTAAAGCCAGTTGCTTTATTGACAGGTTCAGAGTTCATGTTATACTTATCATATCTTCAGTCATTTAAGGGTGTGTGATTTTTTAGACATATGATCTATACATGGGACAAATGTAAAACTAGCTGGCAAATGTGGCAGGAAGTGGACACTTATAAAAAGGAAAGGAGTTGTATCATACAATAAGCAGCAATAATAAAGAGAAGAAAACCAAAAATAATTGCTCTATCACAGGATGTACTTTTCCATCCTTTATATTCTCATTTAGTATTGCACATTACATTTAATTCAAATGAATGTCAGTTCTTTTTTGCTTTAAAACTATATCTAATTTCTGACTTTTATATTCACTGTGGATTAAAAATAAGAAACAGATTAGATGACAAAATAGTCCAGCTGTCATGGTTCAACCCCAGTCAAAAACTAAGCACCACACAGCCGCTCACTCACGCTCCACCCCCGGTGGGATAGGGGAGAGAATCGGGAAAAAAAAGTAAAACCCGTGGGTTGAGATAAAAGCAGTTTAATAGGACAGCAAAGGAAGAGAAAATAATAATAATAATAACAACAACAACAACAATGATAAAGGAATATACAAAATAAGTGACACACAATGCAACTGCTCACTGCCCACTGACCAATGCCCAGCCAGTCCCCAAGCAGTGATCGCTGCCCCTCGGCCAACTCCCCCCAGCTTATATACTGAGCATGATGTCACATGGTATGGAATAGCCCTTTGGCCAGTTTGGGTCAACTGTCCTGGCTGTGCCCCTTCCCAGCTTCTTGTGCACCTGGCAGAGCGTGGGAAGCTGAAAAGTCCTTGACTAGCATAAGCAGTTCTTAGCAACAACTAAAAACATCAGTGTGTTATCAACGTTCTTCTCCTACTAAATCCAAAGCACAGCACTATGCCAGCTACTAGGAAGAAAATTAACTCTATCCCAGCTGGAACCAGCTTCCCATTGAAGCTGGTGAGCAATTGCATTGTGCATCACTTGCTTTGTATGTTATTATTACTATTATTATTATTACTATTTTACTTTATTTCAATTATTAAACTGTTCTTATCTCAAACCAGGAGTTTTCTCACTCTTACTTTTCCAGTTCTCTCCCCCATCCCACCGGGGCATGGGGAGTGAGGAAGC